AATTTAGGGGGACTAAAATGTCTTTGTTGTAATAAATGAACTTATATACTTCATTAAAGTTGTGCATTTCCCCTATCTTTTTTGTTAGCGCAATATTTAGCTCGTGAAAATCTACCTTTTTGTTTCCTGTCTTTTTTACGAAAATGTACAGTTCGTTTTTCTTTTTTGATATCTTTTTCTTCGGCCAATTTTTTGTCTTCATTATTCCGTTCGCCTGGTACCTACGGGGGTGAAGAATTCGAATTGTTGTGTTCCTGTGCTGCCACGTGGTGAAAAGTATGCATGCATGCAGGTGTGTTTCGGTGAGCGAATATGTTCCCCAACTCGCATCATGACATCCTCCCACATGGGTATTAGAACATGACTAGGTGTATCCACCCCTGTGGTTTTTTTTTTTTTTTTTTCTAACCTGGTAGCGCTGTCCGAATGCCGCAGCTGGATGAACTTCTCCTTGGCGTTGACACATTCCGAGACCCCTTTTGAGGTGTGGCCACTTGAGCAGGTGAAAGCTTTCCAAACGTTTTTACCAATCTTAAAAATGGCCATCAGGAACGGCTTCTCATTTCTTCTTCCGCATATTATTTTCGTTCCATTTAAAAATGACATCAAAACCATTTTCGCGTTAAGGTGCGTGCACAAGAAGGATGTTTCCCCATTTGCACTGAGGGGTCTAACTATATAGGCATAATCGTACCATATGTTCCAGTGGCTGTGAACAATAATGGAGAAAAATGTAGGCCCCTAAATGGGGGGTAATTCATCGGAGGGTGAATGCGTAGTTGAAAGCTTTTACATTTTTTTTTTTTCTTTTTAGCGCAGAATATTTTTTCCAAGTGGGATTTTCTCAAACGTGATTAATTGGGGGAGTAGATACGAACGGTACTCACTATGCCCCTACGCATATAGATGTAGATCTAAAAAGCGACAACCCGTGATATGGTCCTTGAGCCCAGCGAGTTCGAGAAACGGGAAAGGTAGACCAAAACGGATTAATCATATTTTTTGCCGGCGTTGCCTTCACCAGGGGGAGCCCAACCGCGGTGAGGAATTTCCCTTGTGTGGAATCCATGTGAAGGGAGTTTACCATCCCTGGAATGTTCCACTTTATCAGCGTCATTTTTCTTAAATGAAGTCATTCCCACCATCGCATCGTTTGTGCGACATTTGTACGATGCGTCATTCGTTTCATATACGTCGCTACAACATTTTGTGCTAGCCATCGTGCGTTTCTTTTTTTTTTCCTCAGCGGCGCTTTTTAAGCAATTAATTTTGTCATTTGAAGGGGTTCCCTTCGAGTTTACTCACCCATCCTATTTTAGAAACATCCATTTCTTTCATGTTTAACTTTTCCATTGGTCAAAACGATCAGGGCAGAAATAAAAAAAAGGAAAATTTTCACATGGACGTAAGGGCGAAATCTATTTGATAGGTGTAACTACTTGCACATTTATTTTTTATTTATTTTTTTTTTATCATGTTACCTTTTTTTGAGGTATTTAAAAAGAAATGAGCGATATTTTGTGCCAAAAGGGAAAAAAAAAAATACTTATGCCTATTTGTTTTCTTCGTTTTTTTTATAAAGCTATCATGCGCACACAGTCATTCATTTTTGTCAAAAATAGGTAGAGGTACATAGAAGTGAAGAACGTATTTAAATGTTACATATATTTTTTAAGGCGTGCTAGTAACACAGGTGTAAAGCTCAGCAAGGCCAAACGAGCAAACTACAGAATTACGAAGGCAGCATCACTATTACACTTTTTTTTCTTTTTCTATTTGACCTTGTAATGTGTCCAGGGACAAATTTGCAGTTCTACAGAAAGAACGACATCTTCGCGTTTTTAACCTTTTCCCGTTTCAAAGGTGTTCGATTTTAGTTTTTTTCCACTTTAGTTTTTTTCCACTTTAGTTTTTTTTCCTTTTTAGTCTTTTGACATTTTAGTTTTCTCCTTTTTTAGTCTTCTCCTTTTTTAGTCTTCTCCTTTTTTAGTTTTCTCCCTTTTTAGTTTTCTCCCTTTTTAGTTTTCTCCCTTTTTACTGTTTTTGCTTTTCAACTTCTGGCACTCAGATTTTTTCTTACCAAGTTTTCGCCAATGAGTTTTTTCCTGATGAACCTACTCTTTAACAACTTTTTCCCCTTTCGCCTGTTAACCCTTCCAACCTGTTAACTTCCTCACCATACACCATCATCTTTAAGCTTCACCTTTCCACGTCGCAGCTCTGCTACCCCTACTTTTAATCGAAGCAGCAAACATTTCACCCCCACCGTTAAGTGAATGCTCCAGATCTTTTCGCCACATAATCATTGCTACGATTGCGTATTGCAGTGGGTCGCAAGAGTGCACCTTTTCGTGAGTCTACCCACGTATCATATGCATGCTCGCATCTTTTATGCGTTGGTGAAGGGATCAGCAAGAATAAAATTGATCTCCCTTTCCTTTTGTAGACATATGTATGTACTTACATACGTAGAGGTGCACCTGCATAGGTCTACACATTTGCATATGCGTGATGGGCGGATTTCCTATGCCTGCGTATATACTACCAGCGTATGTTTGGGCGTGAAGAGCGAGTTTGGTTCGTAATTGCCCTCTTTGCAAAATTGCCATTCTGCTATATGCGTTTTAGCCTCCTCTCCACGTGACCATTGCCAGCTTTGCCACATTCGTTTTGGCCCAATTCTGAGTGGGGTGAATTTTACCTCTCCCATCTGTTTCGTCTGTTTCGCCTTTTTCGCCCTTATCGTTTATTTCACCTTCTTCGGCTTTTCGCCTGTTTTAGAATTTTTAGAATTTCACATAGTCAGAATTTACGCAATTAATAAACAATCCCATCGTTATTTTATTTTATTTTTTTTGTCAATTATTGATAAAATTTAATTAGCACAAATTGAAAGGACAAAGAATAGGCATAGAATTATTAATGTTTATTTATGTACGCATAATCATCCACATGTAACGGTAATTATACGTTTAGGAACACCAAAGAAGTATTTTTTTTTTCTAAAGTAGAATCCATGGCGGTTATATGATGTATACTTTGCATTGTATATATTTAATACATGCATTGTGCGAAAATTGATTGGAAGTATTTTGAATATATATATTTTTTTCCCCACTTTTGGAGTTTAAAATAATGATAATAAAAAGTGAGAAATGGATAATGAAGTGGTATTTCATTTTTTTTTCTTTTTCACCTTTTGGAGTTTAAAGTAATTAATGATAAAACGTGAAAAATGAATAATGAGTAGTATCGCATTTTTTTTTTTTCACCTTTTGGAGTTGAAAGTTAAGCACAAGAAATTTCTTCGTTTTTGTTTCTGGGAAGGCTCTCTCATCTCAATGCGAAGCTAAGCTTTTCATTTCATAATATCAAATCAGCTTACGCATTAATTATTGCATTCAAGTTTTTTCTTTTTTTTCTTGCTCTATTAAATGTATATAAACCCATTAACTACTCCTTTATATATATGTATTTGCCTTACGTACATATATCTGCATGTTTATTTTATGAAATGTATATTGCTCGCCCTTGGTCGATCACATTAGTCGATATATGCCAATATAGCTGCGTATTTTTATCTTCTTAATTTCTTCTATCGATTCTTTTTTTATTTTTTTTTTGGTTCCTCGAATGGAACGGTAGGTTTTTGTATGCCTCTCTCTTCGTTTAATGCTTTTTTCGAATAACTACTTTATTTTTAATTAATTTGCAACAGCATGTTATATATGTGAGCGTATGTTCATGGTTATATGTGTATATGTATGTACGTATTGTGCATGCATGCGTGGCAGAAGTAGATGCCCTTCTCCATCAGTCCGTGGGAAACGTCACGGCTGCATATGTATGGTATATGCATAAGTGCCAGCCGAGATGCATGGCCGTACTTTTTCGAGAGGATTAGCCGGTTAGCTGTTCTGCATATCGGCAGATCGAGAAGTGGCCAGACAGGCACAACTGGTCAGGTAGGAAGTTGGCCAAATTTCGAGTGACCGTTTGTTCGACCCCCATTTGATTCTGCTACCATCGCATCTTTAACGCGAAGCAGCGCTCATAGCCACGTTGCACAGCCAGCACATATCCTACAGACAATCCGCAGACGACCCACAGACAATCAACAAAGTGTCTGCTAAATATCCACCTCGTCTGCACCCCAAGCATATTGCTGTTCCACTTTGGCTTTCTTTTCTATGCATTTCTCCACATCAATGGATAACCATTTGGGCAGATTATCCTAATGGGTCTTTTTGACTTCTGATTTAAGACGAGAACGCTACGAAGTTGTTGATTACTTCCACCACGTTTAGTGTTAACGGTGTATAGCTCGCCTGTATCTTCCATTATATGAATAAATTAGTGTAACCTCCACTGTATAGCGACACTGTTAGAGTTTTTTTATTTTTTTTCTTCACGCCCCCTTTTTTCATGCAACACTGTTGCGGTGCAGATTGTACAGCAGCACTGGATGCTTTTTTTAAAGTTCGAACGGGTGTCAGTTGGGGAGGCAGATCGCATGCGTGTAGCTGCAAGGAAGCCCAGATGGTCATTTCGTAACGTGGACGTATATACATACCTGTTATGTGCATATTATAGCGAAGCGGCGGGAGAGGGTGACACAGCATACCATTTGAGGAGCGTGTGTGGGCAGCCCCCTGAGGAGTAAATGCCTGATTCGATTTGGTTGCCTACCAACCTGGTGTATTATTCCACACGTAGAAGAATCCAACCGGAAGTTTGACCCCAGTTGCATTTTCACTCGGGCGCCCTTATGCATCCTTTCTTCTTCATGTACGACAAGGAAGAGGAAATATATAGGAAGGCGCACAACAGTGGATCAAGCGCAGCAGCCACGAGAACCGAACTACACCAAGATAAGCGGGTGTAGCCAAGTTAAGAGAGTGTAGCCAAACTAAACGCGTATAGTCCAACCGAACGCGTGTAACCGAACGACGCAAGCGAATAAATTGCAACCCGTTGTAGGACCATTCGGCAAGCGACAAATGAGTCCCACCCACAAGGGTTACAGCGGCGCAAGTGTTGCCAGCAAGAGTGGCAGCAGCAACAGCAGCAGACATATTAACCTGAATAACGGCAGCAATAGGCCCTACCAAAGTGGAAACGCTCACAACGGAAGGGGAAATCGACCCAACGTGTACATCTATCGAATGAACGCAAAGAGCAAAGCTTGGCAGGGAGAAAATAAAGCGGAAGAAGCGGCAGTAGCAGCTGACGTAGCAGAAGTGGAATTATCCAAGCATGACGATGAGTATGACGGGAATTTTTTAAAAAAAGATGTTTGCAATTTAGGCAAAATAAATAACGAAAAGTCAAACATGAATAGTAATGCCACCTCAACAAATTTTAAAGAAGAAGAATCAAACATAGAGAATGTGGACATGGACACAGAGCAGATTCGTAGTATGTATATACAAAAGTTAAACTCTACGCAATCTACCATGAACATGGAAGGGAATAATGATACATACAAGGAGGAGGAATTGATGCTGATGCAGAATGGAAAGAGCATAATGGAGGACTGTAACTATAACTACAAAAATAAAAAAATGATCAAAAGTAAACATAAAAATAAAAATAACATGTTGGAGGATAAAATGGATCACCAGCTAGTCAACGAAGAAGATGGAGACCAAGAAATGTACAACCATTCATTTTATCTGTCAGACAATATGGAAGAATTAAGCACCGATGGAAAGAATATCTCGTTCATTAAGAAGATCAAAATGTGCTTAAACTATTTTGGCCCAGGATGGATCGTAGCCATAGCCTATTTGGACCCAGGAAATTTGTGCAGCAACTTAAATGTAGGGTTAATCAGATCATCAGATGATAATGTTAATAACAATTTGGTAAAGGATTATACAGGGTATCGTTTACTATGGATTTTGGCATACGGTCATGTCCTGGGTTTTGTCTTCCAAGTGTTATCTATAAAGCTGGGACACGTGACAGGGTTAGATTTGGCATCCATATGTTACAAAGAATTTGATAAAAAATATTCCTACTTACTGTACATTTGTGTGCAGATTGCCATCTGGGGTGCACACCTACAAGCCATTGTAGGTACCTTTGTAGCTATACATTTGATTTTTGGGATATCTGTCAAGATAGCAATTTTGTATACCCTAGTAGAAGCCCTATTGTATAGTTTCCTCGAGAATAAAAGTCTTAATCTTTTGGAAAATGTCCTAAGTTTGCTCATCGGATTGCTAGCTCTCTGCTTCATTGTTAACGTCTTTATGACCCCAATTAACTACAAAGAGGTGGCTTACAGCATTCTGTACCCACGAATTCCTCCGGGGAAAGGATTTGATGCCATGGCGTTATTGGGTAGTATCATATCAGCACATGTTTTTTATTTACACACAAATTTGACATCCAAGAAGAAGGCTGTAATATTTAACGACAGAATGTTAAAAAGGTACAACACGCTGGGGACCATCGAATCGGCAGGTTCGCTGTTTCTTTCCTGTGTCACCAACTGCATTATTGTACTAACCTTTGCAGAGGTTAATATTAATCCGAACGACAAAAGGGATGCCTACAACCTTTTCACAGCATACGAAGTGATGAAAAAATCGTTTGGGAAGATTTCCATGTATATATGGTCCTTTGGTTTGCTAAGTAGTGGAAATAACTCGAGCTTTATGTGCGAATATGCATCCAAGTCTGTATTCGAAGGATTTTTAAATAAAAAAGTTAACACCTTCGTACGAGTATTATCTTTCCGCTTCTTCCTTTTCTCCATTTTGTATTTATTCTTACTCTACGATAAATACAGCATTGACCAGCTGACAAATTTTATCAATGTCATCGAAGTCCTGCTGCTACCTATGGCCATTGTCCCCCTCTACCGATTTAGTATTCATAAAAATGTGTTAGGAAAATTTGCCTTAACAAAATACTCCAAATTATTTGTTTTCGTCATTGTTATTTCGATAATCATTGCCAACTTGATGCTAACAGTTTTTGATTTCATTCAGAAAGTGCCCAATCTGTACTTTGTTTGTTTTGCCATCGTTTTCTCCTTCCTCTATTTATCGTTCATGTTTTTCCTCTTTAAAATGCCAATTACGAAGACCTACTGTCGCCAGCACTGAAGCGGGGCGTGCGCAGGAGCGAAGCAAGCCAGGGCGATCGCAAGTATGCACTCGGGGGTGTGTATGTACTCCCTAGTGTGGATACTCTTCTGTGGATACTCTTCTGTGGATACTCTTCTGTGGATACCCTTCTGTGCATACTCCTGTGTGTTTACTTTTCTGCACGCGGATCGAGGGGTTGCCCCCCTTTCCCGGCATTCCATTCCCGCGCTGTTCACGCTCCCCGCCGCTCAGTAGGAGGGGGCGCCCGCCCATCTCTTCATCCCTTATATGCTGCAACACCTGTGCCTATAGCGTATCTACGTATGCCGCTGTGTGCAGGCTCGGCCGAGCAATGTATTATCCCATCTCCCACTCTTACCCCTGTAGCGGCTGCCGAACCCTTGCAGAAGCACCTGACTCTTAAGTTTATACCGCGTATGCTTTAAAACGGCCGATCTTTGACCCTTTTACATTCGCTTTTCTAACTTTTTAATGTGTGTTCCTTTTTTTTTCTTTTTTTCTCCTCTTCCATGTAAGACATAGATTTCTTCTTGAACTAACATTCGTGATTGTAACTTTAAAGTCGCATTCCTACATGAGTTGTTAAATAATTACCTTACCGATTCGTATTTTTCACATTGAGGGGATTGCAAAAATGGGTGAGTAGTGTCGCCTAGCGTTGTTAGAGATGGACGACCATCTCATCGCGTTTGATGCGAGGGTTTCGCTTCTTCCATTTAATTTGTTTTGGGTCATTCTGTGAAGCTCTGCTTTTTCTTAATCATTTCGTCGCATCGTAGTTGCAACATATGCGCAACCTATGTGCAATATATTCACAACGTAGTGGGGCTCGGCGTCCGTTCACTTCGCCCCTTCGGTTGCGCCTCTGCGGGGAGTGCACACAAATCCTGCCTCATCAGGCGAGACACAATGTTTTAGTTCTTATTCGGCAGACAAATATTACATGGCTTTCGTTAGCTTAAAACATTCAACTTTGCAGTTAGGCAACATAGCGAAAGATGCGTGCTCCCTGTTTTTCTGCATGCGCCCCTCTCCCATCTTTATTGCCATTTGGTAGCTCAAAATGTATAGCTTACGATAATGCCGCTCTGTCGTCTCAACGTTTGAAAGAAAAATTCCTCTTTTTTTTTTTTTTACGTTTACAAAACTCCGCTTAAATACGGTTAAAAGGATTTAAAAAAGTTTAATATTACACATGGATGTGTACACATCCCAGCATTTACACAACCATGGTTTTTTTTATTTTAAAGATGATATCTTAGCGTGGAAAAAGGCTCGTGAATATGTTATATAATTGTGGAAAAAAAAAAAAAATGACGAAGGTGTAATGGTACATGTCAAATGTGCATAAGAACAAGATGAATGTACAGCCAAAGAAAAAAAAGAAAAAGAAAAAAGATGGAAAAATAAAAAGTAGGGAATAAATGAAACAAGGAATATACAGTTAGGACAAGACGACGGTAGGTACTTAAAAAAAATGTAGAAAAAAAAAAAGAAGCGCGATAGTCCTCGCAGTTACTTTAAAAAATACGGAAATGTACAAAGGGGGGAAGAAGTGTGATTTAGTGGGGGAACACCAAGGCCCCATCTCCCTCCTTTTTTATTTTATGTTAATTTATTTTTTTTTTTTTCTGCTTGTGCGTCTTTGTGCCCATGAATGTACGTACATACCCACGCAGAAGTATACAGACGTACACACATTGACACACATTTGGCACATGCGCAGAGTTAACAACACAAGCTGAAACATAAAAAAAATAAAAACAACTGATTATTGTACAATAAAATGCGTCAAACATTTTATATTTTAAAAAAAAAAAATTAATTGCAAGTTCAAAATTTTACTGAAAAGGAAGCGTATACTCTCGCACATGCTTGTTGTATCATTTATTTTACAGCTAATTTCTTTTCAAAAAAAAATATCTTCTCAAAATTATTTCGCTTTTCTGAACCGATTATGCATTATCATCAGAAAATTACACGCACATCATAGTGACGATGTTGTTTCTTCCCTTTATACCATGTGGCTTCACAAAAATCTAACTAATTCGTGATCATTATTATGCTGCTGAAATCTAATATTGTAATACTTTTCATGATTGGCAACATTGTCATTGTTGCTTGTGTGATTATGCATATTATAGTTATCTTCATTCATTTCTAAATCACGGTGGTGGTCATGATGGTGAGGATGGTGCTGTTTCCACGATTGATCATCCAAATGATTGGTTATTTTTTTGTGGGTACAACAGGGATCTAAGTTCTTCGACTTTAAAAGTTGGTGCGCAATATAATTTGTGCTTATTAAAATAATTGCCGCTAATATTGACATTGGTATGTGCGCTTGTTTGAGTCTATTCGTTATATTTTGATCTCTGAACTCAATATGAGCGTGGGACAGCACAAACATTGTGATTCCCACGAGCGTGAAGATGAAAAGGGAGAAGTTTTTCAGCTGAATAAAGTTGTAAATGGTCGTGAACGAAATTATCGGCGTCATCAGGTAGAGCGCCACCTGTAAAAGGGGGGGAGGAAATGGCCAAATGTGTGATACTACACAATTGGGTAGACACATATATACATGTACAGATTCACACAATTGCGCATATGACGCTTGCACACGCGAGGGTACTTTCTCTACTGTTTCCTGCCATCCATGATGGTGGGAATGGTTGTGAGTTCCCGCTTCTGCTTCGCCATTCTCAGAATCGTGGACCACACTAAAGATAGAAATCAGGACAGTGATTAACGGAATTAAAGTACAATCGATGAGGCATATAATACTTGCTATCGACGATAACTTGTTCAAATTTGACTTTATGTAAACGTATGTCCTGTGATGAGAGGCGAAATAGGGAGGGGGGAAATGTTATTAATACCTTGTGGTGCACATGTACCCTCAGGAGTATATTCGTACATAAGGGTTGAAACAAAAAAAAAAAAAAAAGCACACAACACATTTTCTACACATCTATAGGAAAAAATATAAAAATATTAGTGGCAATTCCATCGACTTTGTATTTTCACCCTTTTCATTAACACATGTAAGGGAAGAAGTTGCTGCGGGAGCAATTGCCTCTATTTAACGTCTCACAATGAACAGAGGAACGTCCCCCCATGGGAACAACACAAGGAGGGAAAACATAACAAAAAAGGGAAAAGAAAAAGAAAAAATAAGAAACACTCATTAAAAAATTTGTAATCGTTTCAGCATTTTACCTCTTCAAGCGGTTCTTCATATTTCACAATCTGATATGTTTTATTGGCATAAGAAGGCTTATCATTTCGGTAGGAATAAATATACTTTTTTTTTTTCATTCATATAAAACAAATGAAGGAGAGAAATGAAGAAGGATTGCAAAGACTAAAGCAAATCATCATGGATAAAAAAAAAAAAAAAAGAAGGGTGAAAACTAAACAATTCAGAACATTTTCCGCGGTTATATTTAACACATGTTATTTGGTTAAACCCTTACATGTAAAAATATGCATATAAAATGAAAAGGAAAAAAAAAAGAAGGTAAAGAAAGCGAGGAATAAATAAATAACTGAGAGGTATCTATATTTTATATACTACTCTATTTGAACACCTCTTTTCTAAAGATTAACCAACAGGAATAAAAAAAAAAAAAAAACGTTAAGTTAAAAACTTTTTTATGCACAATCTTTGGGTCACTTTCCCCCTTTCTAAAGTGGCAAAGTTCAGGAAGAAGAAAAAGGTGCGATTTGGATGCATTTCGATGGGTCAATGGATATATGTCAAATGCTATATGCATGCAGTTAGAGAAATAGCACAACTTAAATGCGGATATGTACATGGGTGGCGTGCTGGCACATATGCGCATACATACAAAATTCCTACGCGCGTAGCTTACCCCATGTGCACATACCTATGCAATACACGCACGGAAGACCACATTACACTAAGTAGGTGAAAAGAAATCCACTTATAACGATTTTAAACACATGAAGATGAAGGAAAAATGGAAAAAGATAACCTTGTAATTCTTCACCTTTCTGCAAACAAAGTTTGAGGCCCAACGGCGTGACTTGTTTCGTTCGACGCAGTTTTTTTCACATTTAGGGTCGATTAGCGGAAACAAAAAAAAAGAAAAAAAAAAGTAAAATAAAAAAAAATGCATTTTTGCAAAGCGCATCGAATGGTGTACAAGCACATTTTCACTTGCCAACTTGGTGATATAGCACGCGGAGTAGAGACGCTTAGTTTTCCCTCTTTCTATGCACACCTAGGTTAATGTGCGATGACAGTTCCGGTTGGCAAAGAATGCAGAAGTAGAGAAATTAAGCAGGAGGTTAAGAAATCCTGCCGAGAAGATACGTGCGTTGGAAGGCATAGCGACATATGCTTAAGGCGCACTCAACCAGGCATAAACACACAAGGAGAAAGCGAGTGGATCAATCAAATGGGTGAAACCAATTCGCACGAGCAGTCACCATGCGCAGCAAAAAATGTGCGTATGCACATGTGATGGGCCAAGGGGCACTGTTGCGTTCGACCACTAGAATCGTCTTTTTTCCCCCCAACAGTTTCTTCCTCAAAATGGGTGACACTTTAAAGAAGAAAAAATGAAGGGGAAAAAAGGAATTGAAAGCCGAGATAAAGTTTTACCCAGACTTTGATAGTACATCTGAATACCCCTTTAACTCAGCAGCAGTAATCTATCGGGCAAATTGTGCAATTCTCTTTGGTCCCTACGTATGCTCAGATGGTTTGAAATGATCTAACAGTTGTCATGAAATAGTGAAATCTGCAAATACATACGCGTAAGCTACGAACGTATGCCGAATGCGCTTCCACGACACCCATTAATGCAGTTATTCGAACCCGTCCCCTTGTTGTCACCTACATGGTTTGCTCACCTGATCTCATCACTTTCGCATGCCTTAGAAGCGAGAACAACACACATTTGGTGAGGCCGCGCAATGCCTAAAATAACAGCGTATGTAATGTACATCCCTGAAAAATGGGGGCCCCATAACTACGTTACGTGTGTACTTATGTGCGTTTGTAACTTCTATGTGTTTACTATGGGTGTGCCTGTATGACTTGCATTCGTTCACCTCCAGCGTGTTCTCTTTTTTACATATGGCTCACCAGGCAAAAGGGGAATTCTCTGACACCTCCAGAAAAAAAAAAAAAAAAATCGCAAATAACTCTTGTAAAACGTAGCATATATGAAGCAATTTCTATTCTGACCGAAAAACAGAACGTATACATATATTCGTTTTGCATTCCCTTTAAAAAAAAACCAAAGAAAGGGAACACAATTTTTCTTTTTGCAACCCTTTTAAACAAATGTGGGTGTAGCAGGGGGGTATGATAGTGTAAAATATAGCACTTCCAACCGCATGACAAGTATTATTTTTTCGAGCAAAAGCATAAATCGTATGCATTTGAGGAGAAAAAAAAAGAAGAACGAACGGATAGCTGCATGTTAATTTGTATAAACATACCAACGGGAGGGAAATAAAAATGCGAATCTTTTACGGAGTGCACATTTTACTTTAAAAAAAAAATAAAAACAAACGAAGGAAAAACTCTTCGTGCCAAAATTTCACTTTGTTCTACAATTGCTCAGTCGAGTTATACGCCCCTTTAATTATGCCCATTTAAAATAGTGCCATTTTTATGTGCTCATATTTATACGTGTGGCATAAATATGCACACACATGCGAAATAAGCATTCTGTTTACATTCCCTGAAGAGGGGCAGTAGGTCACCTCTTTCCTTCAGCAGGCGAAACTGCGTACGCGTTGCAGCAAAGGCGATGGGCCAAGCAAGCGCATGGTTACAGCAAACAGTTAGTTGAATCCATCTACATTCTCAACCCCATATATATATACCGTACGTACATATGGATGTATTTGTTTATTCTTATCCAGGTAAGCCGTAGCAGCGAACTGTAGGCCGCCTGAATGTACGCGTATTTGTGCACCCCAAACGTAGATGCTGTGCGCGCAGCAACTTATCCCCCTTATTGTACGTGTACGCAGTGGTGCACGCAACATGTATAAGGTACGTACGCACGCATACATAGATACATATGCATAATCATATGCATCCTTTCCATGCAGGAGGCATACATGTGACACACGTATTCTCCCCGCGAATATATTTAGTGTACCCAAAACGGTTGTAAAAAGGAAGGGACACTTCTAAATATGTATCTTACCCAAACGATACACCCGTGGTCCCCCCAAATTCTTATCGAATATTTTTTTTGTGCGCACCATCGCCCCATCGTGCAAGTGCCGCGATTTTTTTGGCCAAGGGCAGCTGCGCACGAAGGATACGAGGATAAACGAAGATATGATGAGAGAATGGGTGAAGGAAAGCCAAAAGAGGGCAAAAAAAACAAAAAAATCTACATAAAAAAAGAAGAAAAAATGCAATAAATACAGCGCAAGCAAAGTGCTACAATACTGCGTCATACTGCATGGTATGCGGAAATGTTGCTTAAAAAAAAACGAATAACATATGCCCCTTTTTTTCAACCTACTTCTACGTAACTCTGTTGAAGGCTACAGGAAGTGCTCACGTAAAAGCACATGTTTTTTTTTTTGTCGAAGCCCTCGCTCCTTTCCCCCCCTTTCACTTGTGCCTTTTCCACCCAAAACGGAAAAGCTATAAAAGCTTACAAAAAGAGGTATAGCGAATAAAAAGCGACAAAGAAGAAACTGCCACGAGCCGAATCACAATGTAATATAATATTATATTACGTGCGCGTATGTGTACACTACATAGGCGTATCTCATCCTACATACAGAAAGCGCAAAAATAAACTTGGAAAAAATATGTATGTACGCATATGGTGGCACTTGCGTTGACGAATACAAGTTACGTACGTACATAATTCTCGTAAGTGTAACTTGCAAGCCGCCTTTCTTAAGAAAAAAAAAAGAAAAGAAAAGCACCCCTAAATGTTCTTTTGTCGTAATAATATATAATTACTTTTCTTCTTTGTTTACATTTTTTGTTTTTATTTTTGACACCGTTATTTATTTAAGTGAAAGATATCAAAATCTCCAAATTAAATTTTTATTTATTTATTTATTTTTTACTATATTTTATGTACGTACGCAACTGTAGTCAATTCATCATTTTTACTTTCTTTTGTTTTTTCCAGCCATTTTACATCTTACGTTTTGTATCCTTACATCTCTGCATTTACGTTACAATCATCTCACTATATGCATATACATTATCGTGCTCCCCAAGCGCGTCCCCCCCCTCCCCCCTTCATCACGTTTTCGCCCTTTCGTATAATCCCTGCGGCAAGTATAATATGTGTTATATATAGCAAAGTTTTATTATGAAGAATTTTTTTTTTTTTCTTCATTTTTTTTACTAAGTTTTCCACCTTTTTAATTTTTATCCTCTCAGAAGAGTAGGCGCAGTGTTAAAAATATTGCATAAAAAAAGAAGGGATTAAAAAAAAAAAACAAACAAATAAGTTTATACTGTACATGCTTATATTACTATCTTTTTTTTTTTTTCTTAAATTGTTAGAATGGTATCCAAATTGCATATGCAATTTACGTTTGTTTAATAATTAAGTAAAATTATTTTCACAGTTGAGTTGAAAAGTAAAAAAGAGAAATAACCTTTTGAGGAGGCACAACAGGAGAGCTTGTTAACGTGCAGGCAGGGAGGAAAAATATACACGCATATATGTATTATATATATATTCCCACGCTTGTATGTATGAATCCCCGCGCGACGACGCGTTGTACACCCACACCTCCCCCAAACCCGCATGCGCACAACGCATCTTACATAAACTGCGCCTTTCGTTAACATCATCACGATCAGCAGGATCACCGCGATCATCACCAAGCACTACTACACTCACAGCATCCTCTTTGTATTTAAAGTGTTCCTTCCGACACTTCCTACAAAATTTGCCACGAAGCGAAAGTGACCAGTTTGCAAGCATATGCACCTACATGCGTACTTGTAAGTAGCCCACCTTCTGCAAAGAATTGTTGTGTTTGTGTGCCGACTCAAAAAGGAAGAGGCAATTGCATGTGCTGCTAAAAAAAAAAGTCTGTTTAAACGCAGTTTTTTTTTTTTTTTTACGCGCCAACGGGTTAGTCCCCACCGGAGTCGTCGCATGTATGTGCCGTTTAGCATAGAAAGAGAAAGGGATCCACCCAGAAGCGGATTGCCCCATTGATTGAATGTTTGAGGGTTGAGCGATTGAGTGATTGAGAGATC